GATTTAGAATGCTTGATTATTAATCTTTTTACATTTAATGTTCCATAATGCTAAAAATGATTAATTACATAGTTCTTCCCAATAACTGTCTTGAAAACACGGAAATAAACAGAAGCTCTATCATGTTTTCTTAGGCCTGTAGTCTTCAATTAATTTAACAGCTCCTTTGAATATAAACAGTCTACCAGTTTTTTAATTTCTTGTGGAAATTAGTCTGCTATTACCAATTAACCATCAATTGTCCGGTTGTGGAAGAGGCGTACCTCTGTCCCATAATCATAAAATATTACTTTTGGAAAATCTGTTTGATAGTTTCCGTAAGATACTCACCTGGTGCCTTCTCAGAGTCTAATCCCTTCTCAGAGTCTTTTACAATCCGTATGTATTCAGTATGTTATCAGATTAATTTTGGATAAAAATAATAACTAATATGTACTTAGTAAAATTAACATTTACCTCTTCTCCCTAGATATGAGATTCCTTAAAAACTCTGGAATGTATGTCCTTTAGATAATTTGTATTGTATTTGTTCTGTAACAAGATATTTAAACTGAGTCAAGGAATTTATCAATATGCATTTATATCTCAGATTTTATTAAACTCTGTAAATTCTGTTTAATATAATTATGCCAAGAACGAAGAACCCCATTAAAAATATTAAGAATATGTAATAAAACAAGTGTTGAATTAAAACATATCTCGATTTAGTCTATAGGATGATATCCATTTTGTCAGTTTTACATGATCATTGATTTCCCAGATATTTTCATGGCTTGCCTGACATTTTCATTCCATTTGAAATGCTTATGGTCTAAAAGGTCCTTTTTCCTAGGGAGAACATTTGAATAGCTGGAGAGAAGCCATTTGGGGAGGATTAGGACTATCTGATACATGATATGGGGTTTCAGTTCTCAAGATAAGACTCTTGGAATATGTTGAAAATACTTCAAATAATGGCTGCACCTCTACATCAGCTGGGACAATCCTCTTCTCCCTAAAAGAAAAATCTTTAGTTACTAAGAATATGAGGTTTAAGGTCAGACAGTTCTGCAATGGAAATCAAATTCTGCCATATACATCTAGGCCTGGATAAGTTTAACTTAAGTATCATTAACAGTAATGAGAATAATTGTAAGCCTCAGTTCATATTGTTGTAAATGTGGAATGATCCAACCATATAGGAAGGTTCATATCCTGGCACTGCTATCTTTGACTTAGATCATGACCTTGGAGATGATTCTGAATGCTGCTGTGCATCCATTTCCTCATATAAAATGAAATAAATAGTTATACCTACAATTTATTGGATTTTTTTAGAATAAAAGGAGATAATACAGGTAAAAGTTGGCTGTAATTGTTAGCATTGTGTCTGGCTCCTGGTAAGGACCACATATTGTAGCTATTTTGCTCATTACAGTTTGGGGCAGCTTAATCCAAGCAGCTGTACCGACAAGGGCTGCAGTCAAACAGCTTCTTCTCAAAATCAGAACTCACTTCCAGAGTTACTTGTCTGCTATTGTCTTGTGTCAACGACTCCCTGTGACCTCCTCATCAAGGAGGCTAGCTAATCTCTTCTGGATTTTATCTGATATCCATGAACTTGACCTCTTGCCTGGAAAGTCAATGATAGATTTATCTACTGACTGTTCTACTGATGCTTCTT